GCCCCCATCCCCTGGAAGGGGCTTGGCACCCTCCCTGCCCCCCCCCCCGGCCAATCAACACCTGGGGGCGGGGGAGCGTGGGAAGCCACCTCCCACCCTGCCAGGAGCACGGGGTACTTCAAAGCTACACATGCTCCGGGCAGGGAGGCTTCACGTGCTCACCCTCCCCTAGGCCCTAATTGGCCTGGGGGCAGGGGAGCAGCAGGCCCTCTGTGGGCCAGATCCACCCAGTTGGCGGGCTGGATCCGGCCCACGCAGGCCCTTTTCCCCACCCCTGCCCTAGACCTAGGGTGGTCCCTGCAGCACAGGGGGTGGACTCGGCCACTGCTAACCTGGAAAGACCAGCAAGCGTCACAGTCAATTCTCCCCGGGGCTCGCTGCCTCCCCTAGGGGCGGGTCTGGAAACACCCTCCGGGCCAGCACCGGGAGGCTGTGCTGTGTGCAGTCACCCAGGAGCCGGGATAACTGCACAACAAGCTCAGGAGTTTCCCACGTGACCCAGAGTCTCACGAGCAAGAGGAGGGGCTCTGAGTACCCACCCCCACCCCCGGCCAGGTGGCGGTGAGGTTTGGCCCATGCAACAACCGCCCTCCCTGTCCATCCATCGTGGCTGTGTGCCACGGGGCCTGGTTTAGGCCCTCGCTGCTGTGGGGAGGGCTACGGGAGAGCTTTGTCCCCGCTGGGAATTAACACCCAAACATCCCCCCTGCTCTGAGGCTCAGGGGGATTAATGCACCCTGAGAACGCGCTTCCTGCAGCTCGGATTATGTCACTGGGCCGGACAGAGAGCTCCTGGCCCGACAGACCTCCCCCCGCCCGTTGCTGGCTCTGCCTCCATGCAGCCTTGCCCGTGAAGCGGAGTTCAGACCTGGGCCCACCCGAAGGGAGACTCGCAGAGGCGGCAGTGGGAGGATGTGCTGGTCAGATCCTGCATTTCCCCTGGGATGAGAAGGCTGCTCGTTAACCAGACCCCAGGGGGGCCTTCTGCATCACCCCGGCTGCGCCCCGCCTCACAGAGCCTTCCTAGCACTTCTGGCAGGAGAGGGACACATGGTCTGTGGAAAGGGCCCCTCCAGGTTTGTAAGAGCTCCCCCTGCCCCAGAGATCCTGCACAGGCTGTTCACAAGAGGCACCGGGCCGCGGCATCACCGCCTCTTCCAACTGTCGCTCCCTAGGTGTCTGAGGAAGGAGTGGGTGAGCCAGACCTGTCACCCCGTTTCTCCCCATTCCCCCTATCCGATGGAGAAATGGAAGCACAAGACCGGGAAGCAACTTGTCCCGGCATCCCAGCTGGAGAGAGCTGGGAATGGAACCCAGGAGTCCTGGCTCCCAGCCCCCACCAGCTCCAAGCACTAGACCCCCCCCCCGAGCTGGGAATGGAACCCAGAGTCCTGGCTCTGAGCCCTGAACACGGAGCCGTGACAGGAGGAAACGTGGAGGGGGGCCCGTGAGGGTGAGAACAGCCACGGCCCGGACCCAGGCGTTAGCCGGGAGAGCACTGGGCATCTTTGGTGTGAGCTCAGAGGCACCGCGCAGGGCGTCGGGGGCAAGGCCAAACCTACAGCGACGCCCACAGCCCACTTAGGCTCCACCCACAGCCCACTTAGGCTCCACCCACAAGGTCCCTTCCAGGCCCAGTGCTCCAACCCCTCCCCCTGCCGTGCGGCGATGCACAGGTCAGGACCCTGGGACACGCCCGCAGCATGGCAGGAGGTTCCACCCGCCCAGCGTGGAAGCCCGGACGGAGCTCATCCAGGAAGTGGGCCCTGTGCAGGGGGAGGAAGAGAGGTGAGGCGAGCTCCGTCGGGGAGTTATTACGGTGATGCGGCAGGACTGACGGGAAGGGGGTCCCCGTGCAGCAGGCAGAGGGCGAGCGGCTCTAGAGGAGGACGCAGTCCGACTCCGGCTTGTGCCGCTGCCTGCGCTCCGTGGCTGGCCGGCCGGCCGCCTGAGCTCTCCCCTGAAACCAAGGAGAAGAAAAATGCAACCGAAGCCTTCAGCCATCTCAGCGTGCTTTGCAGTCACATCTCCCCACCCCCACCCCGCCACCAAGAGCCTCCCCGCGGAAGGGCCAATGGAAGCAGAGAGAGGGGAAGCGACTTGGCACAGCTAGAGACGGAACTCAGCTTGCTCTAACCATTAGGCAATACTCCTCCTGGAGCTAGGAAGCGGAGTCAATGGGTCCCAGTTTCCAGGTCTCCTCCCTTGCACCTTCCACAGGCCTGGGAATAGAGCCCCAGGGCCTACCTCACTCCCTGGCTGCAGGGGCTGCCCCGAGAGATACAGCTGCTGCTACTGCAAACAGGGAGGCTTTGGAGTTAGATTCCCCATGCAGGGCCACAGATTCCCTCCAGATCCCCGAGCTGCTCCCTGCCCCGGAGCAAAGGCCCATGGGACACAGCTAGACCAGGGGAGGAGGAGACAGAATTGCACCAAATTGGACTGATGCGTCCTCGCCACATGGGGGGGGAAGGGACTGGCCTGAACAGCAAGAGGGCCAGTTGGGCGGAGCTGAGCAACTCTTGAGTGGGAGGGTTAAAGCTGGGGCTGAACGGACTTGCCCTGTCCCCCAGGTGAGTCCCCCTCACCCTAGGAGGGTGCCATGCCACAGCCTCCTCCTTCCCCCGCCGGTGGCTGGTGTAGACCCCTGACAGCAAGAAGGTCCAGGGAGCAGGGGAACAGGGTGGGGCTGTATTGCATTCTGGGGGGGAAGCCAGGGCCTGTTACCTGCACAGGAGGCGTTGCTGGCTGCTGCTGCTGCAGCTGGCGTGCAAGCTCCAGGTCGCTCAGGGCAGAGGGGCCCTGCTGCTGCTGCAGGGACAGGGCTATCATGTAGTCCTGGGGGCGAAGGAGGAGACGTGCTCAGGGCGGGGACTCCTGGGGAGTAGGATACAGGGGAAAAGAGGAGCTCTATCCCAGAGGGTCCCCACAGCTCTACACCAAGGGGGTCCGTAGGGGATCGCTCGCCCAGCACTGACAGGCAGCCACCTCTGGGGAGCAACATGGCAGCTGTGCAAAACACACGGAGGCAGGACATAGGGACACGTTGCGGAGGTCAGTCTCAGCAGGTCTGGGCACGAATTCATGTAGCAGGGATCATCGAGGGGCGGGGGGAAGGTTGGATCTGGAAGGCTCAGGGCTAAGTCACCGCAATGACCCACCCTCTGGGGAGGATCCATCACCCTCGCTTGGGGAGGGGGAGAAACAGAAGTTCAGAGGGATTAAGAGACTCAAACCTCTGGGCTCCTCTCTTCTGCACTGATCAACGTCCCCCTCAGAGGCAACGACAGCTCCCAAGAGCCCTGATTCCCAGCACCTCTCTGCTCTAACCACTAGACCACTCTGCTCTAACGATCAGGAACCTGTTCTAGTAGGGTACGTCTACACTTGCACCCTCTTTCGAGAGAGAGATGCAAATGCAGCGGAGCGAAATTGCAAATGAAGCGCAGATTTGAATTTCCCGCACTTCATTTGCATAATCGCGGACCCCCCGCTATTTCGAAATACCTTCTTTCGAAATAACAAACGCTGTGTAGATGCGGTTATTTCGGGAGAAAACCCTTCTTCCGAAATACCCCTTATTCCTCATACAACGAGGTTCACCGGTGATTTCGGAAGACGGGTTTTCTCCCGAAATAACCACCTCTACACAGCGTTTGTTATTTCGAAAGAAGGTATTTCGAAATAGCGGGGGGTCCGCGATTATGCAAATGAAGCGCGGGAAATTCAAATCCGCGCTTCATTTGCAATTTCACTCCGCTGCATTTGCATCCCTCTCTCGAAAGAGGGTGCAAGTGTAGACGTACCCGTAGATCCGGATTCCGGGAGGAGACACATTTCTGTCAGAAGAGCAAGAGAACTGTCAATTCCATTCTCTAGTCTAGACCACGCAGCCTGCCTGGGGTCGGAACGAGAACCCAGGAATTCCAGCTCCCAGTCCCCTCTGCTGTGACTACTAGACCTCACTCCCCTCCTATCGCTGGAAAGGAACCCAGAAGTGCAGAAACCACCACCGCTCTCTAGCCACCAGACCCCACTCGCCTCCCAGAGCCAATAATAGAATCCAGGTGTCCTGACCTCAGCCCCCTCCACTCTAACCACTCAGCCATGCTACCGTGGCTAGCCACCTCCCTGCACAGTCAGGCCTCCTACCTGGTCCACCTGCCTCTGCTCCTGGGGGGAGCTGCCGGCCGCCTCCTTCCCCAGCGTGTGGCTCAGGTGGAACTCGGCGTCACAGAAGCAGCTGTCCCCATCCACGTTGTGCAGGCTTTCCCACGCCACCTTCTCCTCCTGGAGGAAGCCCTGGTCTGTGACCAGCAGGTACAGGTGGCCCTGTGGAGAGGTGTGTAAGAGCCAGCATCCCCTTGAGAGCCTGTGATCCACTTAGGCACAACCTCTGGGGGACATCACAATCAAAGGGTCACTACCACCCCACCTCTAGGGGGGCATGCGAGGCAGGAAAGGGTTAATGGACTAGCAAAACACTGGGGAAACCGAGGCACAGCTGCTGCTAATGCTGCAGCAGGCCAGGAAGGGCTGCAGCCCTGCCTCAGTTTCCCCTATGCCTCAAATTGGGCCCCTTAACCCTTTCTTGCCTTGTGTGGAGCCTCCCCAGACATAGAGCCCCCCATGTCCACCTGCATGCAGCCGTAGGAAGGCAGAGCTCACCTGGTGCTTGATCATGGTGCTGAAGTGGTTGTTTCTGAAGAAGACGCTCAGCTCCCCCTCCTTGACAGCGGCCATGAGCTCGCACAGGCCGTGGTAGGACAGCTGCGAGGCCTTAACCCTTTCTTGCCTTGTGTGGAGCCTCCCCAGACATAGAGCCCCCCATGTCCACCTGCATGCAGCCGTAGGAAGGCAGAGCTCACCTGGTGCTTGATCATGGTGCTGAAGTGGTTGTTTCTGAAGAAGACGCTCAGCTCCCCCTCCTTGACAGCGGCCATGAGCTCGCACAGGCCGTGGTAGGACAGCTGCGAGGCCGTGGACTCCAGGAACTGCTCGGCGATCAGGCCTGAGGGGCAGAAACGAGGCGTTAGCCAGGGAAGGGTGGGGGTGTGAGACTGGCGCG